ATTATAGGTACATCGTGCACAATAATCATAACATAATTAATTTTTATGTCGTCCTTTTTTATAGTATTCCAGTAACCTCTTTTCGAGAATTACGACGTAAGAATTGTTATTTGTAGTAGTGATTTGGGTTCATAATTATTATATTTGGTAAATTTTATTACAAAATTAAGCGGCTAGAAGCTAAACTGTTTAGTAACAGAAAGTATGTACCTACCTACGTACGTTAACTCAAACGACCTCGGAACCATTTTGTCGTTGATAGTGACTTAATGAGCGGATGTATTACAAACGACGTGTTTGAAGAAATACATATTTAGTAAATTTTCTAGAAGTTATGATACTGATAATTTAAAAAAAATTAACGTATTTAAGAAACTACTAATTTATCAGAATAAGTTATAATTAAATTTGTCAAATAAAAACAACATTTCGTGTGCATATTAACTTAAAATTTGTCTTTCAAATTGTCACATATCAGATTATTACAGTTCCGTGGTAGCTCAGATGGTTAACGCTCGCTGTAAATTTCATATTACGCGAGCAAACCAGGTTCGATCTCCGTCGGCACCAATGAAATTGTTACCTAATTGCAATTTTAAGTGCTGATTTACCACGTGCTCGGCGGTGAAGGAAAACATCGTGAGGAAACCTGAATGTCAGAGAAATAAGAAAAAAAAATTATTTCGAAGACATGTGAAGTTCGCTAACACGCATTGGGGCAGCGCGGCGGACAATTCCTTGCCCTAAAACCCTCTCAGAAATGAGCGGAGGCCTGTGCCCAGCAGTGGGACGTATATAGGCTGTAACTTTACTTTACTTATATCAGATTATTATAGGGCATAGAAAATAGTTTGCAAAACTTTGGCTTTGTTCAAACGTTGGTCTGCATTCAGTTGAAGTTAAAACGGGTAATGGTGGACATATATACGCTACGACAAATCGTTACGATCAGACTGTACAGTTCGAACGGTACAGTTTATCGTACATGGCATACAAGCCATATACGCTACGAGAAATCGTTACGATCAGACGGTACAATAAACAGTGCCGACGCACACGTGTTAGCGATGGCTTCGCCGGACGACGTTTTAGCAGTTGTTGGATTAATATTCGCCCTGAAAGAAAAAAAGTGAAGCTGAAAAATCTGGTGCAAAGAATGGCTAATGAAAAGAAGTGTTCATTCTCATGTCAATTTGTTGGCGGAATTAAAGATGTTTCGAAAAGACTGGCACAATTTTGTACTAACTAAACTAACTGTGTTTTGAAGTCTTGCAGTGGTATGCTTTGGTTTAGTTAGTTCATTCTGCGTAGATCGGACCAAAGACAGTAATTAAAAAGCTGAAGGTACTCCGGGCTAACTTTGACATCTGGACGTCAGTCACCTCAGTCCACCGTGACCATGGGTGCTGGAAAGCACCCGAAACGTCGGGTATTAAAAATAAATAAAACGCGATAAAATCCGTAAAAGTAGTTTTAATCAATGTATAGTGTTCGCGTAAATATAAGAAATCATTATAATAATGATGGTTTATTAATTCGTATTAATATCAAAAGAAGATAAATAAGTAGCCGCTGAATTTTGTATTGGTTGGGATTGACCTTGTTGAGAAGTTTGCAGAATTGACTGGGAACCTAGATGTGTTTGGATTTCAAAATTGAATTCTGATAAGGTACTGGGCTATGATTGTTTTTTTTTTTTTTTTTTTTATAGAATAGGGTGACAAACGAGCACACAGTCCACCTGATGGTAAGTGGTTGCTGCGGCCCATAGACATCTACATCTATCCTCCATTAAAAATCAAAATGCAGATGCGTTGTCACCCGTGAGGACTGAGATGGAATGCCTCGTTTCCAGTAAAAAGGGTCTCCGGTTCTCTACACTCACCATACGAAATACAGCAGCATTAAGCTACTATTTCACGCTGGTATTCTGTGAGAGCGTGGTCCTTCCCCGGTCGAGCCGACCCATTCGTGCTACAACTATACTACTAATATAACTGCAGCATGGCTCTACCACGTAAAAAAACCAGGTGTTTAAACCAGGACTGGGAGTATGTGAAACGGAGCTGGTAACGTTGTAACCATAATTAGTAAAACGCACACTAGTTGAATCAATCAGTTGGTGTGAAATAGTCAAATTTTCCATTTCTGCGAGAAATAATGTTTCGTTAATTATTTTTTCGGCCAAAATATGTTGACGTTTTGTGAGGTCCCTCAGCTTAGCAGCAACGTTTGCTCCAAAAATATCAAATCGATCATTACTGATTGCGGGCCTTTTGAAATGATTTTGAACAGACTGTAAAACATCAGTAGTTAGGTTTTCATTTGCATTCCTTTTTGGCCATCTCCTATTAAACTATGTGTTTGCAATCGAACGAGTCTCTGGAATTTACTGTGTGCTTGTAGGTGACTAGGGAGTGAAGTTGACTGGGCACCACAGGCGGCCGGAGATGACTGTGCTTCACTTTCAATTTCCTGAAACAATTTTTTTTACACTTCCCACGCTCGGAAGAAGAATGGAAGGATGTGGCAAGTGTTTGAAAACAGATGGAATTTCCCGCATTGATTAGGCGCAATGGATGTTAAACACATAGCAATTTTTCTTCCGACTGGATATGGCTCGGAGTATTTCAACTATAAAAACCATCATAGCATGGTGTTATTAGCAATCGTTGATGGAAATTATCGATTTCTTTTATGTGATTTTGGAACAAATGGAAGAATTTCTGATGGCGGACTACTCAAAAACACAAAGTTTTTTGAAAAACTTGATAACAATCTGTTGTGTACTCCAACTGACACAGTTGTCGCAAATAGCACCAGAAATTTGCCTTATGTGTTTGTGGCTGATGATGCGTTTCCACTTAGAACAGATTTAATTAAACCATTTAGGCAAGCAGACTTGACCACAAATAAAAGCAGAATTCTAAATTACCGTGTATCACGAGCAAGACGCATCGTCGAAAATGCGTTTGGAATCTTGGCATCTCGATTTAGAATTTTTCACACAAAAATTAGTATTGATGCGAAGAGAATAGAGTCTGTCGTGATGGCCAGTTGTGCTTTACATAATTATTTAATGAATAAATCAGAAAGTTCTTATTGTGAACAATAATGCTTCGACGTAGAAAATGTTGATGAAGGGTCAATAACCCATGGATATGATACAACGGATTCAGCCATAGTTAATTTACAAATAACAAATCTTGGTAATACCTCAGTTGCAGCAAAAAAAGTCAGGGAAGAGTACATGGAATACTTTGCAAGTGAAGGCAGCGTTCCGCGGCAAAATAATTTTATACGTTAACTAATCTATACTTAAACTGTAAACTTTGGGAGTAAAACATTTAACAAAAAAGTTATTTAATTTCATTAAATACCTACGCGTTAATTCACTAAGTATATATTAAGACCTTATTACTATGTTTATAGGGTCTGTCAACGGGGAGACGGGGAGGGGAGTGTGGGAGCGGCCATGAACTCGAAGCGAATGCATAGTACTCTACTGACACCACAGGACTAAAAACCATAGACAAAATAAAAAATAGTAAGGAAAGCCGACCGTATTGGAACAATCTGTATAATCACACCCAAATAACTTACCTCGTTGTCTGTTGATTCGTCATCTACATTAGAGCGTGAATGTCTTGATTCTTCTTGGTCATCCAAAAACAGCAACATAGAGTAATACCATAGTTTTGTTTTATACACTTCTTGGGTTCCTGCTCCTGATTTCTTCGAATCAGCGATCTTCTTACGCTCTTTTTTGTAAGTAGACCGAATGTTGTTTATTTTTTTACGACAGCATCTTTGTTAGCACTAGGGTCTAATATTTTCAATTTTTCAATTAGTTTATTGTACGCTGAACGTTTTAAATCGCGATAGTAATACTCTTTGCCTATAGTATTCCAAAGACTAGGTTCACTGCGATATAGCTCAATAAATTGTTCTAGCCATTCGCGATTAGTTTGAGACGCCATCTCCATGACGCGTGCCAGTGCGAGTGACTACAAAACTGAACACAAAAACTGACGAGCGCATACACATTACGATCAGTCGGCACAGTTCGTCCGATTCCGATTAATCAATTGAAATTTTCATACTGTTCCGTTCGACTGCACAGTCTTAAAAAATCGGACGAAACTGTACAATTTCATAGCATACATGTAGCGATTTATCGGTACCGTTCGAACTGTACAGTCTGATCGTAACGATTTCTCGTAGCGTATATGTCCACCATAAGTTACTTGTTAAATGAAATAAGGTTTCGAGCTATGCCTTTCTGTTTGTCTATCACAATTTTTACACATCATCGATCAGTCGTGAACCGAGCTTATATATTTCTGATAAATATTACGTTACTTTACGTTCGATGCTCAGCGCAAAGTCTGATGCGACCTGGTTATTGTTTCTAGAGTGAAAAGAACAAAATTGAAAGGTTTATTTAAGAGTATTTCGTGTGTAGTACTGATTAAAATTAGTTTTATGTTTTAGAGTAAAAAGATTGGAAGATGAGTGCCAGGTATTCTACATACCTACTTACTATAAACGTCTTACATTTATACTAAGCATTTCGCTGTACAGATATTTAAATTAATTAACACACTATCAATGGCCCCAAAAGACTGCCTTGAGGAAGACCATTTTTCTTTGAAAACGCCACCTTCATAATTTTCTAAATGTAAACATGAAAGAGACTCACTTAAAATAATGATGAAGTTTAAGTTCTCAGGCATAGTATTAACATAATTGTCGCTTCAAAATGAAGATCATAGTGTTGTAAATTATCCAATTGTGCTGAATATTTGTGAGAGAAGAAAATTTTTAGTTTGTTAAATAAGTTGACATCAGATTACAAAATTATAAGTGATATTATATATTGCTAAACTTCAGACACAACGTACAAAAGATTACAATCACTTAACTCAAGTGAACTGATTTGATTTGAAATAATATTCGTCGAACTAGCTGTTATTCTAAACTAAGCATAAGAAACTGACCTTATAATTCAGGCCTTGAACGTCCTCCTCCAGCGACACATCAGAGTACATGTCGTCGGCTGGCTCCCCACCTGAACCGCAGCCCGACGAATTGAATGACGACGACCGGTATAATTGGCTGAAACAATAACATAGTACGTTATAATTTCTTTACTAATGTGGATTACCATGTCTGATTAAACTGTAATTATTGGTAGAGCTGACATCTATCGCCAATTTACGTTATCATGGCAATATTGTAACAGCGTCATCTGTTAGATTGCGTTGCAAACTTTAAGTATGTATCAACTTGAAAAACTGTCAGTTTGAACTATAGGTGGCGCTAATAAATAGTAGTAAAACGAAGTACTATCAGTAATAAGTAGGCAGCAGGTATATAGAAGTAGGTAGTTTCCGTGTGGTGACCACAAAACAATGTACTTTATACGGTAGTGGCTGCGTAAACTAGGAATCTGACGTCCCATTTCGTCCTGTAGGTTTTTAAGAGGCGACTAATAGTAAAAGGAAATGCCAAAAACATCCAATAGCTTCCAATAGATGGCGGTGTAACCACCTTGTTTACGTCAGGTGTAATATACTCAGAGCAATGACGGGAAGCAGCGTCAAAGGCATCAATCCGCTTGTCAAGCCAAACCCCTCCCACAACAGGGGCGGCCCATGTCCAGGTCTTCATTAGTCTTTATTAATCATTATTCATTACTGCCTTTTAAAAGTCCACTTTAGTAAGTTATATTGGCTTCCCGCATTGGTTGTCTCACAGGGGAGATATTTGCAGTTTGGGGCAGTAGTACCTATGTGCTGTAGAATAAGTAAGTTATAAAGTGAAAATCCTACACTAACAATTTAAGATGCCGCAACTAAATTACAGTTTATTTCCTTAACTTTTTATATATTTTGATCTAACCTACTGATCTGACTTGAACTACGTAATATTAAAATCATATACCGTGATCATATAGGTAGGTATGATAATTATGACCTTAATCTATTCGTAATAATAAAAATATATTTTTCGGCTTTGGATACAAATACAATCAATTAGTAAAAAATTAAGGCGTAATGTAAATTGGGTAGGTACATTGTTGTGTATGTGTGTGCTCTCTTTAGTACGGTGTAATATTCTTTTATATATATATATATCACAAAGTGACTAATATTAGCACTTAGTATTAGTAAAACAGTTTATAATTTGTACCTTGCTAAGACATTGGAGCCAATTTGCCGCTTCCCCGAGCTGTAACAAAAAAACAGAGTTTTAAGCAACACTTCATGCATTCTGTCTTATCTTTTCTTAAATTTAACTTTTCTTCTTTGTCAGCCTGCATAAAACCGAGTGGTGGTAGTATATTTGTTTAAAAATACCAAACCCCAATTTCACAGACTGGTGATGGGGAGCAGCACTACAAAGGTGGGGGAGGGAGGTTTGTCTCAGAACATACCAGATGAGTAATGCCTATATCTAGGAATGGATTAAGAAGCTGTTAAAAAAATCATAACAATCTTTTAATGGTTCGTTGCGAGAATGTGCCAACTGGCATTAATTACTTGGAATTTTTTTCCAAACTGACTAGGTTGGACAGAAATTTAGATTCAGCGTATCTGGACAGATTCTCTGCTATCAGGTATCAGACCCGCACAGGTAAGTTTAGCAGTTGGAGAAAAAACAAATGGAATCAATAACGATTTGTGTTCTCGTATTATAAAATGTATGTAAAATCTTGCATGGGAAAGGTAAGTTGAATAAAATTACATAATTTACAAAGTGTATAGCAAAGGCGTGCATTCAGATATGGTTAATTTATTTGATTACTTGTGAACGTCCGGTGTAACATCGCACTCAGCGTTTTCTTGGAGAAAGAAGGAAATAATGTACAATGGCAACACCGACAATTAGTACATTTTATTATCGTGTGGTTTGTGCGTAACTTGAGTCTTACATAAATGTAATGTTGTAGTGTTTTTAAGATTAGATTGCAATAAGATGACGGTTAGAATAAGATAAAAGGCGATGTAATTGTTATGATGGGGTAATAAGCTGCTGTAAAACTACGCATTAATCATGCTTGTGTGCTGTATATTTGGTGAACTATTTTCGGATAATAATATTGTTTTATCCAACTTTTAAGATTTTTTGAATAAAAATGAAGTTACAATTGATCTTAGAGTCCAACTGATAAGTGGCTACTGAAGGAAACACCGGCTACCTAGTATACAGACATATACTAGTATGTATGTACATTTAGGTACAGGATTATTTTCCAATAACCGGCCAAATTTGCAGAAAAGGTTCAGAATAAGTAATAAAGTCAAATGGTGAAGAATAAATAATTAAAAAAGTCTCAAAAATTCTGTCCTTTTTATAATTTAAATTCAAAACGCGTGATAATACATTATTTTAACTGATTTTACTGCGCACGCAGATATTCGTAAGGGTCGATCGGGTGGCAAAACAACGTTTTTGCCCACAAATCATATTTCAATTGGGATAATTTTAAATAAAAGTAGAAACCTTATTTACTCGTATTTTCAAAAGCTGCAATAGCGGTATATCATTACTTATATATTTTATATATTAGTATATTTACAATAGTCGGCCAGGGATGCCATATACGGGTGTTTATTGACCAAATTGGTGATATATTGATGCTGGGAGTTACAAATGTTTTGAAGTTTCTTTGAATCAATAAACATATTAAAATTAAATGTTAAAATACATAGTTACATCTACATATTATTTACCCATAGCCCATAGGATACTTATTATCACGAATCGAGGTTTTGAAAACGTATGCCACAATATCATATATTTCTTAAATACATATATTATAAATATTTTTTATATAATAAGGGTGAATATAGACATCTACATCTACCCTCGATTAAGAATCAAAATGCAGATGCATTGCCACTCTAGATCTAAGATGGAATACTTCGTTCTCAGTAAAAAGGGTCTCCGATTGTCTTCACTCACCACACGAAACACAGCATTGAGCTGTTATTTTACGCTGGTATTCTGTGAGAGCGTGGTCTTTCCCCAGTCGAGCCAGATCATTCGTGCTGCAACAATAATATAGCTGCAGCGTGGCTCTATTATACAACGTAAATTAAAATAAAATAATTTTTAAAACATATACAGCTACACAATACGATATCAATGTAGATATTTTATTTACGTTTTCAAATGAGATTGCCATACCAGTTGAGTTTACCGAATGATAAAACCATGTTAAACACATTATAATTTAATTACTATTGTAGCTCTAATTAAAAAAGAAACTCTCCGTCATATCTACTTGCGTGAGTGTTTGTTTCTTTACGATAAAACGTAGCTAAGATTTATTACCCTTATTTTTTACTTTCTAAATGTAACAAAGCTATTTATTCCAAACAATATATTTGACCCTTTATAAAATTAAAATAGGTCTTATTTATATTATTATCTAAATGCCATAATAGCAAATAAATTCCCTATAAACTTATTGCAGAGGTGTTAGCTTAGACTTAGAGTTAGCTTCTAAGGGTGTTCGTAACAAATATTTATCTGATATATTTATCTGATTAGATTTTGTGTGAAAATAGGCCTCCCCTTAGACTATCTCAAAGAGGAGATATTTGCCATAGTTGTCACGCTTGGTAGGCGGCTGTGCAGCCTAAGTTACTTACTTACTTACTTATCTTCACGCACAATCCCTAACGGGGTAGCCAGAGAGAACAGATCGCCAAGTGTCACGATCCTTACATACCTCTTTCGCTTCTTTCAGGTTCATTAACTTCTTCATACATGCACGTCTAGGTATCCGAGTACTCTTGACCCTTCCCCTCTTCGAGCAATTTGCTCACATGGTCTTCGAAAGTTAGTCTCTACCTCAACCTTTTAATATTTACTTTCCTCTATATATTTTCTTCACCATTCGGTCTTCACCCATTCGCTCAACGTGCCCAAACCATTGGAGTACGCCCCTATCAATTTTTGTGATAAAGTCATCTTTCAATCCTGCCATATTGCGAATCTCTTCGTTTCGCTTTCGATCGGCTATGGTAACGCCACACATTTTACGAAGAGATCGCATCTCCACTGCGTTCAACTTGCTTTTATGCTTCTTCTGGCATACCCAGGCAGCCTAAGTTTTTAACTTTTTTCGTTGTAGGAAGACCCTGCTGCCCATATTCTGGTTTGTTTTCTTCTGTGGTTCTGTCGCCTCTTACGATACCCACGGACGATATGGGGTAGTCGATATTCTTATACCGCCAAGGTATGTTGTCTTTTATTGGATTTTAATATGTTACTATAGTGGGACACCCGTGGGGAGTGCTAGAGAAATCGCTAGTGACACAAATGAAACATGGGTGCGCACGCGCCGTGAAATTGTGTAAGAAAGCGATTGCGTTTGCCGCAAGCGACACTTACAAATTTTTCTACGATTTTCAATTGTGTGTAAATTGTGGCTAGAATTTTTTTTATAAGTTTGAACCCTTTCATGCTTCATCTACACCAACCGGTTTTTTTATGGATACAAAATAACTTATGATCACGCTAACTTAGTTTAACGTTGTAATGATTCCCATATATTCGAAATGCAATCTCAGTGTTGTAACCATATAATTTGCAGAAATGATGAAACTTCAGTTGCATGATAGCCGTCGTGCGATCTTTTAATTTACTTAATACAGATTGACGGATAATACATGCCTGAGTTTTTGTGTAAATGCGAAATTAAGGCTTTGTTCCCAACTAAAGGCATGTGAATCTGAACAAATGAGAAAAAAAAACTGCGTTCGGACTACATGGTCTACTCGAAACTATGCAAGACAATTTTATATTATTATTCGAGAACATATTTTATCTGTTTATATTAAATAGCGATCATTATCATCGCGTGACAGACCCTCGCTGACTGAAATACAATGGAGTGAACTTACAAAATAAAAAAATACGCTCACATCATTATTATGTTGGTAAGAAGTACCACAGCATGAAGAGTACGTACGGTACCATCCACATTAACAATGGAGTAGTGACCGCCCCGCATTTTAATTATCGTAATAATTGCAGTACGCAATCATTTTGGAATTTATAAGGTCCGTAATTTGTCGCTGTAGTTAATCTTGAAAACAGTTTTAAGACGTAAAAAAAACATTCCCATAGAATTTTGATTGAGATTTTCTTTTGTAAGGCAATGATGTCAGATTAAAAGGATTTTGGGCAAACGTATCTTTATAAGACGTGACGGCGTACGTAATATGTAATAAAGTAATTATTTCTCATACGCATTATTACAATTTGAATAAATAAAACTGATTTTATGGTTTTTAGGTTTAATTAAACTTAACGTCGAAATCGCTCGTATATATTTGAATGTTTTTGCGTCGCAGCGTAAGTACGTACGTACGTTTAAGATTAAAATTATAATTGTTAATGATAAAACTAACACTTCTGTTTACTCTCAATAGTAACCACTTCCGGATAAACTTAAAATAACATGTGTAATAGGCTATAAATAACTCAGTCTTACTAGGAGATGTTATTAAATAAAATTGCTCAGAATGGTGTCAAAATAAAAAATATATCTAAATGCTATATGCTACGAGTCTTACACTAAGTGTACGGGCAACGCACGGGCAACACTATTTGTATGGCTTACAAATAACTGTTCCAAGTATGGACACGATTTTTTTATGTAAAATACCTCCATAATACATGAGAAATTCCTTAGCCTTCGTCTTTTTGTTACTGATATACTGTCTTACGATGGCTGAGTGTGGTTCTAAATTCGGATCCCGTATTTCGGATCTGATGATGTTTCAAGTATATTAGGGTTTTGCTCTAGGGAACTACGTAAATAACATCTCACAGTCAAGAAATGTCCTAAATATTTTTTTATAGAATATGTGTGGCAAACAAGCACACAATCAACCTGATGGTAAGTGCATACTGTGGCCCATAAACATCTACATCTACCCTCGTTTAAGAATCAAAATGCAGATGTGCTGCCACCCCTGAGAACTAAGATGAAATGCCTTGTTTCTAGTAAAAAGGGTCTCCGGTTCTCTACGCTCTCCATACGAAATACAGCAGCAATGAGCTGTTATTTGACACTGGTATTCTGTGAGAGCGTGGTCCTTCCCCGGTCGAGCCAACCCATTCATGCTGCAACCATAATATAGCTGCACCACGGCTCACTCTTCAAAAATAATATAAGCGAAATGTGAATATGCTTTTAATTATTTTTCATT